CACGAACTTGAAAAAAAACCCTTGCGGGAATTTTTTTTTTTTTTTTTTGTGTCGGCAACAGGTAGATTATATTGCGATTGTTCATTCAAATAGCAATCATTGCTATCATTGTCTCGAGGACTTTTCTTCAATCTTCCTTTTTTTGCCTGAATATTGTTTGTCTCTTTCTTTTTCAGTTTTTTATTATTTTTCTTCACTTTAAATTGTAAACTGAAACAACTTTTGACTTTTATTACTTCTTTCTTTCTTTCTTTTATTTCCTCCCGATATTTGTTTCCTTTTCTTTCTTTCTTTCTTTCTTTCTTTCTTTCTTTCTTTCTTTCTATTCTCTGGTATCATTTCTGTTCGTTTTCTTCTTTCATTCCATTTCCTGTTATCCTTTGTGTCCCTTTCTTTTTCTTTCTTTGTTTCTTTGCTCTTTCTTTTTTTCTTTTTTTCTTTCATCCATTCCTTCTTTCTTTCTTTCTTTCTTTCTTTCTTTCTTTCTATTTCCTTGTATCATTTCTGTCCGTTTCATTTTTTTATTTATTTTGGCTTTATTTAGTCCTTTCTTTCTTTTACCATGATTTACTTGTGGCATTTTTTCTTTCTTTCTTTTCTTTCATTTTCTTTCTTTCTTTCTTTCTTTCTTTCTTTCTTTCTTTCTTTCTTTCTATTTCCTATTATCATTTCTGTCCGTTTCTTTTCTTTCTTTCTTTCTTTCTTTCTTCCTTTCTTTCTTTCAGTTCTCTGCCTCATCGCCTAAATACCTTTATTCTCTCCTTTCTTCCTACCCCCACTTCTTTTTATAGTGTTTTCTTTAAACCTTGTCTTCCCCGCTTCCTACCATCGGGATCTCATTCAACGCAGTTAATTAACCTGACTTATTTTGGCAATTCTCAACTGATTCGTCAACTCCTCGCCAAGCCTGGCTTCGGCCACCTCCCGGCAAAAAAAAACTTCACGCACAAATTAAATACGTTTTTCTTTCTCGATAATTTGATTTCTTTTATTTCTGAATTCCTTATTTTAGTCATTCTCTTTTGTAATCTGTCCTCCTGTTATCCTCTACCATTTACAAAAGACAATTCAGGCCGAAAATGGCGTACTGCTGCTATATGGCAGGAGCTGCCCAGTTTTCACTAGTTTTGCAATATTTGAATCCAACTTAATCAATGACAATCGAAGATCACCTTTTTGTGCAATGTCGAGTCGGTTACGAGCTTTTGATAGTAAGTTAGTGAGAAGGCTAAAACCAGATTCATCAAGGCAAGATGAAGGCAAAACAATGACATACAACTGCGCTCTCTTCCAGAAGTGAGTAGTGAATACTTTTCCTAACATTATGGGCCTCATCTTTAAATCTTGCTTGAAATGTTGTTTTCCAGCTGAAACTACTCACATTTAATCATCGCCGATCAGACACTGAACTATCACAAATCACGAGGAACGGACATTCCCTCGGCGAGAGCCCGTGATTTGACTTAAAGTGAACTGAAACCTCATGTTGAACTCATACATCCATTTCCTGTATCGCTCCAATAAGTACCTGATGTTGACCATGTTTGCCGTAGTCTCTGAATATGGAATCCAGTGAAGTCCGTAATGTGTTCAATATCAGAGGTTGGCAATGTAAATTCGGAGAAAGTAGCGGTTGTTAATTCTTTTAGTCTTCGATATCAGGTTGGCAATGGAGATATTTTGGGAGAAAAAACAAAATGGCTGCCTTTATACACGTCGCATTGAATATTTTGAGCTTTCTGATTGGTTAGCTATTCTGTTGGTGAACTATAAAATGAGTCAGCTCATTTTGACTGGCTCACTAGTACATACATATATCCCAAAAACTGTAACACCTGACTCCTCTTGCTACCTTTGACCATTATAAGAGCAAGATCAGACTTAAAATTGGTTACGGTTTCTTTATATGGTCAGGAGCCGCACAGTCTTAACTTTCCAGTCACAATAGAATCTCAAAGTCTCTCCGCGTCCTTATGTGTAACAAATTATTTTCCACCCTACAACCCCTTTTACAAAGACGAAATGTCGGAAGCCTCACGCTGTCTTATCGCTATTTCCACGGAAAATGTTCAGACGAACTACAGTCCTTAGTTCCACCAGTTCTAGCCTGCAGGGCTAAGACCCGCCCCCATGTTACGCACATTCTAGCGAACCACCTTCATTCCCTTCGCTATTGCGAAGATGTAAGTTCCACTTGAGTAGCTTCTTCTCACGAACAGCTGTTTTGTGGAACTACAAGATCACTAGAATCTCTTACTCAGTCATCTTCTACCTCGAGTGGCTTCTGGGCCCTGTACAGGGCGAAAATTATTGTAAAAAATGATGTAAAAAGAAAACTCGAAAAATCATAGATGATGAAAGAAAGAAAGGCAGAAAGAAAGAATGAATGAATGAAAGAAAAAAGAAAGAAAGACTGAATGAAAGAAAGAATAAAGAAAGAATGAAAGAGAAAAGAAAGAAAGAAAGAAAGAAAGAAAGAAAAATGAATGGATGAATGAATGAAAGAAAGAATGAAGAAAGAATAAAAATGAAAAGAAAGAAAGAATGAATGAATGAATGAATGAAAAAAGGAAGAAGAAAGAATGACAGAAAAAAGAAAGAAAGAAAGAAAGAAAGAATGAATAAATGAAAGAATAAAGAAAGAATGAAAGAGAAAAGAAAGAAAGAAAAAAAATGAATGAATGAATGAAAGAATAAAGAAAGAATGAAAGAGAAAAGAAAGAAAGAAAGAAAGAAAAATGAATGGATGAATGAATGAAAGCAAGAATGAAGAAAGAATAAAAATGAAAAGAAAGAAAGAATGAATGAATGAATGAAAAAAGGAAGAAGAATGAAAGAAAGAATAAAGAAAGAATGACAGAAAAAAGAAAGAAAGAAAAAAGAAAGAATGAATAAATGAAAGAATAAAGAAAGAATAAAAGAGAAAAGAAAGAAAGAATGAATGAATGAAAGAATAAAGAAAGAATGAAAGAGAAAAGAAAGAAAGAAAGAAAAAAGAAAGAAACAAAGAAACGCTATTGGATTTGTATGAAGCAAAGTTCATAAAAGAAAGAGGTAAGCAGAAAAGGATATCGCGACAAAAGAGAAATCCTAAAAGTCCTAAAAAAATAAGGAAAGAAAGAAGGAAACTGAAAGGAAGAAAAAAAAAAGACATAATGAAATAGAATTCTGTCGAATTACAATACTGACCACATATGGAAGGAAAAGGGAGATAACTGCCCTCTGTAGGATTGAAATAATAGAGAGGATCACTGGAAAATACGAATACTCAAGGAATCAGCACATATGCCACAAAAATTTCCTGAGCCGACCAAGCATAGAAATGAATACAATATGAGAACCAGTAATAAGGACTGCTAGAAAAAAGCAATGAATAACAACAAAAATTGCAGTATAAGCTCCTGTAAAAATTACGATAATAATAACAGAAAAAAATTGTAATATGAGCACTGGTAAAAGATGGTACTGTGGCATTAGGTTTATAAGTCAAAAAATTCAAGCACAGATGTCCTGAAGGATATATGTCCCAGTGGATAAAAGACGTTGGTTAGATCCAGTGACGAGACCCACTGCAATGGTGAAACAAAACTTCAGTTTTCAGTTAAAGGGAAAGAAGTGAGACATCCGGAAGAGACATGGCACGTGGAACTAGAACAATCTAACCCGGTAGACGAAATAAAGGGTTCGGTTCTAAATTCCAGTTACCCAAAGAAAGCCGGAACGTACAACGACCGAAACGTTGTGAATATGGCAGTGAAGATGAGGATAACAGTTCGAATGATGTAAATAATGCAAGTAGTGACAAAAATCTGTAGGATTGATAAATAAAAAAGTCCATTACTTTAGAAAATTACTTTATTTACTTTTGGATACCGAACTGAGCAGATATAAAAAGGTTTCGAGGAATTTATGGCAAGAAGGATTTCTTTTAAAGACACTGTACAAACATTGCTTGATCGGCAAGACTGCTTCATGGCCGAGTCGGTTAAGTCACATCTGATATAACAGTTGTTTTCCAATTTAACTCTGTATTTAGTTCATGTAATATATTTCTATTCCATGAATAATTAACTAAATTCATAATTATACATATTAATATCAATACCAGGCTACAGCAAGTGGTGAAACAAACTCGGAGAGTTGACTTAAAGGGAAATAACTGAGACATCCGGAAGTGGCATGGTACGTGGAACTAGAACAATCTACCCCGGTGGGCGAAATAAAGGGTTCCGTTCAAAATTCCAATCAGGGCGAAACGTTGTGAATATGAGGATGACTCCTAATAATGTAAATAATGCAAGTAATCCTATCTCATCTCAGAGATATATTTTGCTTTATTTCTGTCCATTATTTTTTTTGTTTCATTTTCTTTCTTTCTCTTTTCTTTTCTTTTTACCTACGTTCCCCTTATCCCCGCTTTCATTCATTCATTCATTCATTCATTTTGCTTTAGTTATTTTCCTCTCTTTTTCTTTCTATCATTTTTCCTTCCGTCTTTGCTTTCCAATCTTCCAATCCGCTGAATGTATCGACCTAATAAATCCCCAAAATCGGTCCACAAAATCTTAAATGTCTAGCGAGGACCCCAATACGGAAACATTTCAAACTCCATCTGGTGTACAACAAGAAGGAAATGAAAGCCCCAGTCTATTTAATCCTTTTCTATTCTATGCTCTTTGCAAAATGGCTCTTGGGCGTTTTAAAGAGCGAGATTTTGGCATTACTTAAGTCTGAGGACTAGACTGTAAAAAATAGGAACCAATTTTGAGAGGGACAATGTTTTTGTAGATTAGCATTTTTTAGAAAAGGCCTACAGAACTTGAGAATAATGTCAAGGGTCACACTGATTGCATAAAATTAATTACGAGTCGCAAATGTAACTTTTTATATTAAATTAGGGAATATGAGTTTGGTAGAAACAAATATATGCAGACTGAGGCAACGAAAAATTTCTTCCTTTTTTCCTATTTTAGGAAGAGTTTTTTTTTATAATCGTTTCACCCCAATAACATTGCGGACCCTTTTTTTGTGGAGGGAGGGGATTTTGTCAAGAATCTCGGGGTCAATAGTAGGAGAACCAGACAAGATATGGCATCAATATTCAATGCCCGGAAGAATAGTAGATTTATAAATGCGCAAGTAGGATTCTGATGAGACTGTCTCTCACGTCACGCCGAACAAACTTTCCTAGTAATGTTAAATAATAGTTTAGCTCCCTATTATTTTTTAGTGAAAATGTATCTTGACTCCGACATCCGGAGGTTGACCTTCGAGGTCAGATGGAAGCCATAATAAGCGAGTCGATTTTGACTGGCTGAGCTAGCGTGGGAATGATAGAGAAAGGTTTTTTTTCAGCGAGTCGAGTCTTGAACCGTCAAGCAATGTAGACTGTCAGATTTGCTACTAAGACAGGAGCAAATAGTTTTCATCTGCAGAACTACCTATGAAAACCTTTTTCTATGTCAAACAAAATTATTAATCTTTTTTTATTATTTAATGGATTAAATATGTGACTATAAATTTCTTGATGACTTCTCTTTCATGCATTAAGCAAGAAATTCCGCACAATTTGATATCTATTTTATGGGGATTCCATAAACAGGAATAAGTTGAAATGCAATCTCATCGAGCAAACCGGTTTTCGGACAGCGTAAATTGTCAAAGGGCACAGCAGTGACATGGTCGAAGCTGTACTTTGCTCTATTAAACCAAATGAAAAATCCTTGTAGATATGGATGAATTGAT